CCCCAAAACCCCAAAACCCCAAAACCCCATAGTCAAGAAATCATGCAATAATACTAAATAAATATCAAAAGCATAATTGTCATTTAATATTTGGGAATGTCCATATCTCAACAGCAATAGGTGTAAATTCTTGGATATTTGGGATAATAGAATCAACCTTGCTTTTCTAAATGAAATCTCCATTAAGTGAGAAGTAATGCCCATCAATTATACTCACTACATTCTTAAAATCATCCTATTCAAGTTAAAATTCTCATTAATTTAGACTTACAGCAATCAAGAGATCTGTCTCTCCAAACTTCATAATATAGCTGTTCAAGTTATTCTTATTTCTCTTCTTACTTCGCTTTTTATTCTTCATTTATATCTTTTACAGTATTTGTTCTCCATCATCATCATATTCAATATCATCTGAATTTGTATTCTCTTCTTCAAATGTATCGTCATTAGCCAGGTAAGTTTATGCTGCCTAAGTATATATTGTATCTTTTACTTTTGTAGCCTCAAACCTCAGATTGTGAGTTAAGTTAAACATAAATGATGTTTCGTCACCTCCAAGGTGCATGGATAAGTCCAGTCCATTAACAAAATTAGTGACCTATGAATCTCTTGTCCATCCATGAGATGAATATCCACCCACAATATTTCTTTACCCTCTTATCTCAACTTGCATCAGAATTATATTTGGCATAAGATGAGCCTTTTTTCTTTCAAAGAAATCAATTACCTAGTATATCTATGGTAACTTTTCATCTGAATTCAAAGGTGGAAATAGCTATTAAGGTTGATGTCTATCTTTCAAAATAGGATCATATGGTAAGTTGAAGTATAAAAGTGACTTGTTGATGTCTGAAAGTATATTTGAACCTCTAAATACTCTGCTAAGGAACCTAGAGTCTAAGTCCTGATTAATCATTTAAGGGTAAAACTTATGAAACACTCCAAATATTGACTTCTATATGATGGAGTTATCAGCATTTTTCTCAGAAATTGTAATACTATCTCCTTTTTGACTTCTTTACTAGAGAAACTAATCTGAGAGTTTAGAGTGCAAATGATCTATCTTATCTCTCAATACCTTTCTCTTTTCCTTTTTGGATAGTAATTGCTAGGTGTTTTCATTGTAGCTTTACTATTTTCTCTAGGAAATCATGCTTCTCTCATTAAAGTTAATTTTAGAGTCATTGAAATCTCTCTTAATATCTATTTAAGGGCTCTAGGTACTATATTCTATTAATGATATCATTAGACTTACAGATGCTTGGTTATAGATAGCTTTACTTTGCTCAAGAGACTAGATTTGAGATCGTTACTTTGCTGAGTTTTATACTCTTGAAATTATTCTTTTGTTATTCCCCCACTTGTTGAGATTATAATTGGTCTCCCTTCTAACTTCAAGTCAATTGGAACTTCAGTCAATTCTATTTTCTGTCTAGCTATCTGCTTCATATTATACTGATAGGCATCCCATATTTGTAGAAATTAGATAGGATCGCACTCATGAGCTTGCTTCACCATAAAATCCTCTAAAAATTTCATCTCACTTTCTTATCTCTACAACTCTGAGAAATCATTTTTAAGAATGTTAGATTTCTCTTCGAATTTAATCTTTAACAGCTAAAGAGTTTCAGTGAGCAGGGCATATAATCTCTCCTCAACGTCATCTGAGTTTGACTTCAGTCTTTTCATTTGCTCTATGACTTACTGCATTTACTCTCTAATTAAGTATTACTTCATTTCTACTTCATCATTTCTGCGCTTTAGACTTCTTAGTGCTTAGTCATAAGCAGTTGATAATTCCATTATGGGATGTTCATATTTAGGCTAATGCTTTTCTTGCTAATCAACAATACAAAGAGCACACATTGCTTCTTTGCAATATCCACAATAGAACTCATAAACTCTTTTATTATGACTTTCACAGTGCCCGTAGTCTTTTTGAAAATTGTCAGCAAGTGATTCTAGCTCAATCAGATCATATCTTATATGATCCTCAAAGTTTTAGTCATCGTTTTGTTTGGGGCTTTAACTATTAATGTTATGCCAAGTGTAATCACATTGATTGCAGAAGAATTGGTCTTCATTTTTACAAAACAAAGTAGCTGGTTCCTTGCATTCCTCGCATGTCTTGATTTCATTTCTTGCCATTTGAAAAGGAATTGCTACCTTATTTAAAACTTTGAAAGACACTTTGAATAGTGGAGTTATTTGCTCCTCTTTATATATCAAGTAATTCCTGCTATATTAGTTCTGACTTTAGTGAATATCAAATGGACTATCCTTCAAATGAATAAATACGCTGTCATAATTGTTTGGAAGCTATATTTATCTAGATTCTTCTTTTGTGACTTTGTCTGGATAGCAGAATGCCTAGCCAACATCTAACTAGTACAAATAGAGAGTCAAGGATTTGGGGAATTCTAGATTTTAAAGCTACTCCGACAAGTCTAATCTCTTTCCTATTGTAAAGCATTAAGGTTTCCCAAAGTTAAATCCCTTTCCTTTACCAAGGATATCAGAGGTATTTTCTATTTCATCCTTTGTCACCCATGAATCTAATAACAGTTCCCTTCTGAATTGCAATTAAGAGTCAATTTATTATGTTTGCTTCTTAGCTGGAGTGATCTAATATATCGAATGAATGATTGGATTTTAGTACAGACTCAATCCTAATCTCAATTTATATATTATTTATCTGCCAAGATCTGTATCTGGATCAATACTATCTCTTATACCATTATCCTCTCTGTATTAGTTATATAGGTCTCTTTAAGTATATTTCTTTATTGCTTCTGGTGGATCAGGATTTCTTCTTTCAAATTTCATTTTCAATCTTCAATTAATCTACTTTAATAAATTTTCGATATTATTGAACTTACAGTTAGGCGGGGTTTTGGGGTTTTGGGG